AAAAAAAAAAAAAAAAAGCTGGTCAGACCCCTTGTGTGCGCCTCCCACTTCCTCCTATGAGCAGTGGTGGCCCTCAGGGCCTACGGTTCTGGGGACGTTGGTCCAGGAGGTGCCAGCTGCCTTCCCCTGTTGGATCCCCCCAGTCGCCCATAGGTGAGGCCCGGGTCCTCCCCCTTGGGTAAGCACTCCCCGTCCCATTTATTGGGAGCGCAGGCAGGGAAATCGGAAAGGGCTGCCTGGCACGGTTGGTAAATTTGTTGGTTGCATTGTCTTTGTTTCCTTAAAGGGTTTTCGGTAAGTGTGTTTGGCATACGGTCTTTTAATGGGTTTGCAGTGTCTTATGTTTTTAGCAGCCTGTATCTCCAGCTGGTGCTTTTAATCAGGAAAAAAAATTCTGTAAATACAAGAATTGTTTAAAAGACATAACCGTAGAACATAGCTTCTCGTTTGTAGATTTCTTTTCCTATATATTCAAAGTAAAATAACTTGCGGGAGCCATCACTCACTGTGTCTTTGTTGTGCTGTCTGCCCCTCACATGTGCCATCCCAAAGACTAACCTTCCCCGCCCAGCCAGTGGGGCCACAGAGATTTCTGCTGTAAACTACAGAGTGTGAGGATGCAGAACCCGATGCCCTGGACTGGAGGACCTGGTGGAAACCTGAATCTTTTCCCCTCTAATGATGATGTTCCTCAGTCCAGCCCTGTCTAGAGGGGAGGAAACCCCTGAGACATGGCATGCAAGGCCCACAGCACTGTCTGTCCTGGCCCTCGCCACAGACAGTCTTGCTTGCCTGGTGTTCTATTCCCTGTGTTCTTAGAAAACTCATGGGTCAGCCTTCGTGTGCCTAGGTTTTTTTTTTTTCTTCCTTTTTGAGGCGAAAGTCACATTACATAAAATTAACATTTAAACATCTACAATTCAGTGGCACTAAATACATTTACTGTGTACAACCAGCACCTCTGTCTAGTTCCAGAACATTTTCATCACCCCAAAAGGAGACCCCATCTCCATTAGCAGTCACTCCCCATTCCCATTACCCCAGCCCCAGAAAACCACTAATCTACTTTCTGTCACTATTGGATTTACCTCTTCTGGGTATTTCATATAAATGGAATCATGTATCATGTGTCCTTTTGTATCTGTTTTCTTTCACTCAGCCTGACGTCTTCAAGGTTTTTCCACGTTGTAGCGTGTATCAGTGCTTCATTTTTATGGCTAAATAATGTTCTGTTGGATAATGGATGGACCACATTTTATCTAGTCATCTATTGATGGGCTTTGGGTTGCTTTTCCCTTGTGGCTATCGTGAGTAGTGCTGTTATGGATGCGCCTGTGCGTTTTGTTTGAACGTGTTTTCAATTCTCTTGGGTTGTGCCGTGCTTTTAAGGTGCATGTATCGTGCCAGGCTGCCACTCATGCTGCATCAAGACCCTCATGTTGCTCTTGTCCCTGTGCCCCGAGATGATGCCCATGTGGCCTTGACTGCTCCCTTCCAGGGGCACTTCTGAAGGCTCCTTTGGACCGTCGTCCCAGGGCAGAACTGCTGGCCACTGGATGTGTGAGCGATTCCACACAATGACACAGTGCAGGGAACATACTTGGGAAGTAGATGACAGGAACTTAGCCGGGAGGCAGCCACAGGACTGAGGGGAAGACAGGAATGGGCCTCACAGAGGCTAGCAGGTGGCCAGGGCAGCTGGCCCGAGCATCAAATGCCTGGGGAAAGGGTTGTTACTAGCCTTGGACACCTACATCCCCAATCCTCAGAAATCCTGCCGGTCACTCTGCCTATTCCTGGCCATCTTCTCCGTCTGTCTGAGGCCCAGTCATGTCTCCCACTTGGCTGCTGCCCAGCCTCCTCCCTGAATGGTCTCAGAACATTCTGTGCTCACTCCCACCTGTCCCCCTGCCAGGGGCACTCTCCTTGTGGCTGCTGGGTTTCACTGGGGAAACATCCTGGCCCAAGCCTGACATAGGGTGTATAGGTCCATGGGGCATCCCAGAGGGAAGAGCGCATGGGCCAACTCCAGACAGGTCCAGCAGATGCCACTGTGGACACCTGCCCACAATGTGCATGTGTCAGAACACCCAGTCACTGTGGCCAGTCCCACCCCTCCGCCACCAAAATGCCAACAGCAGGTCCCTGCCGTCCTGCAGGGGAGCCTGGACCCTACACCCCCAGGCTGATGGGCTCCTGGGGGCCTGGGAATTTGAAGTATTCCCCATGTGTATTGGCTTCCCCCTTGGCTTCCTTGAGCTCTTTGGGTTACATTTCCCCACAA